ATTTGCCCACTACCATATCGTTTTGCTCTGCTCTGTTCACTCTCTTAAAACTACCAGTTCCAATGACTGTGTGATTATACAGTTCAATTTGTGTCCAAGGATTATAATTCTGAAACAAGGGCTTGATGGGTGGTTGTGATAGGCTTAGAGATCATTTGAGCTGGGGTAACAGGATCCTCTCCTTTTCATTGTGGACAATGAGGTAAGAATCGTGTAATATTCCACAAGAAAAGTCTGACAAACCGCAGGTGTCATTGCACAGATTTGGTCATAACCTGAAATTCCTGTTTGTGTGCAAGGCAAGCCAAGGGTATGATCACATCAAAAACAAGAAATGGATAAACAGACAGGGAAAAACAACACAGACACTACATCAGTACACACAATGCATGTAAAGTGCTCACAGACAAATTGCACTTTTCCCACCATCCTGTGCAATCACATTTCTTCGTCTAACATATCATCTTCTTTTGGTTTCAGAATTCTTCCTCCGTGGATCAGCTGTTTTTCTCTTTCAGTGTTGTATTAGACAGCTAGGAATCTAGTGCAGAGAAATGTTTTTATTTTTAATTTACAGAAAATAACGGTATGCTTTGCTTTCTGGGTCGACTGACACAAAGAGCAAAGAGGGGAATATTTCAACCAAAGGAGGAGTTCCCTTTTTATTTTTCTCCCATAGATATCTGTTTTTCTCTGTAAGTTGTGGCTGGAAGCTTGTGAGTGAGTTTAGTGAGTTTAGTGAGTGTACTGTGTGCAAGAATCAGACAGAGTACTCACAGACCAATAGCAAGAAAAGTGGTGAAGAGATAGATAGATAGATAAGAGATAGATAGATAGATAGATAGACAGTTAGCATGCAAACTGGCAGAATAATTAGGCTTTGTGTGATAGCAGTGACCTCATCAGAAATTCTATTACTGTTGAAGTTTGTGCTTCCCTGGCTGTATCCCAGCCTCATTTCCCTGCCAGAGAGAAAACCTCACTGTAGACCTCGTCAACACTGCCACAGACCTGATCTATTCACCATCACCAGCCATAAAGATGAGAAACCAAACACGGTGCAGGCACACCCATGCCAGGAAGCCTGACTTAGCCCAAAGAGCCCACATTAGTGTTTATTCAGCTTGAACGCAGCACATCTTGGCAACTCTGGTGAGAGCAAGTAGACAGTTCATAAGAACATAATGATAACATAGATTCAAGTAGCAGCTCGCTTAAATATAAGTAACTGAAATTTGCTCTTTCATGGCCCTAAAACCAGTAAGTATTCTGGTCATCTGCTTCTGTCATGAGCTGATGAACTTTAACTTTGTGCCATATTCATGGATCCACCCAGGCAGATTTTTTTAAGCCTCCATCTATTGACTGTGAAAAGATGTTCCTAGGCTTGTCCCTGGTGAAGAGAAGTCTTTGTTGATTATCTCCACTGGTGAGCCACCTACATTTGGCTCAGCTTAATCAGAACACAAACACGCCTCTGTCATTTGGCTGTGCTCCGTCTTACCCTCCATCGCTCCCTCTCTCCCATTCATTCTTTCATTAACCAACACTCCAAGTTCTATTTTCACTCTCCTCTTTTTATTTTGTTGTTTTTTATTTGAATGCTTGTTTATGGGTTAGTGTACTGTATGTGCAACACAAAGAGAAAAATCACACCACACTGGTATTCTCTCTGACCCCTCAATCTCACACCTTGGGCTTTGATTTGTTTCCCCTCTATCTAATCTACAAATCTAGATGATGTCTCTCTCTCTCCCTGAGTCACAGACACTGAGGCCTGGCATAAATAAACTTTGCTTGTTTGTGAACAGCCAGGCTTCAGCTGCCTCAGGGCACATGTCACGATGTAAAGAGAACCCCTGAGGGAGAAGACTTGCACTGGATTACCGTTGAATACAAGGTGGCCACATCCTGTTCAAGAGAACAGTCTAGTTACACAAAAGAAATACATACACACTACACTGCTCACCATATCCATATCCAAACAGCCATGCACAATCAAACATGGCTATAAGATCAAGATTACAGAGGAAAACAGGCAATGTGATTAAGTAAACAAGAGAAACTAGCCCAGAACCACAAATGGAGTCTTAACTTATAGTTAAAACTTACAAATATTTACACACTGACCTTTGAACCTGAAACTAAAATCACTGACACATGAAACCTGTGTACCAAATAGATGTATGCCTACAAAACCAAAAATCAAACAACATTCTAAATCTAAATATTTTTTTCATTTCCAAGGCACTGCCATTGTCTTCAGTGTTGAAAATCACAGTAGAAGACAGCCAACCTCATGTACCAGACACTGGAGGAATGTGGTTATACTGATGTGGGCACTACCCAGAACTTGACATGTCACTCCAGGTTTTCCATGCTGTCAGGGGATTTCATAGGAGACAAGATTTTTTTCTGCACTGCATA